CAGTTGGAAGGATTCTAAGGAGCTACCTTCATCTACAGTAGTTTAGGGCTGAATGTGGGTCCATTAACTGCTACCCAGAATACTTATTTCCTCCCAGAGGTAAATATCCCACTGCAAGTAGCTGGATGATGACAAAACACAACCTTCTACTCCTTCTCTCTGTATACGTTCTTCACTGTTACGGGTTGATTGTGTCATGCCTCCCAAATTGAAGTATTCAAGCCCCAGCTCCCAGTACCTGAATGGGGATAGAGTGGCCTTATTTGGAGATAGATTCTTTATAAAGGTGATCGAATTAAAAGGAGGTCCTTATAGTAACTGTAATACAGCATGACTGGGAACTTTATAAAAAGGTAAGATTTGGAGCCAGATGTGCACTGAAGGAGAAAGTCATGTAAAGATGAAGCAAAGATCTGAGTGATGCTTCTCCGAGCCAAGGAGCATGAAAGATTACCAGCAAACCATCAGAGGGCAGGAGAGAGAGGTGGCATGGATTCCCTGTCATGGCCCCAGGAGGAAGCATCCCCACTGACACCTTAATCTCAGACCTCTGTCTTCACAATTGTATTAGCCACTTTCTCTTTTCCAGGGCAAATACCTGACACGTGCAGCTTACATGAGGAGAGGTTTATTTTGGCTCATGGTTTCGGAGGGCTCAGTGCATGGATGGCTGGCTCCAAGGAAGAAATGACATGGCGGTGGGTTTGGTGGGAGAAAGCTGCTCAACCCATTGTACTCAGGCAGCAGAAAGAGGAGGGAGACAGAGACGAGAGTGCACAGTTCCCTGTCATGCCCCTGGTGACCCACTTCTTCCAGCCAAGCTCCACCTCCTAACAGAACGTTCAGCTACAAACTCATCCATGAATGAATCCACTAATGAGCACAGCACCTCAGGACCCAGTCACCTTCCAAAAGCCTCACGTCTGAACACAGAAGACATTGGGGTGACATTTGAGATCTAAACCACCACACCTTTAGACAATGAATTTCTCTTTTGATGCAACCCAGTTCATGTATTGAAAGACACTAATACACCTACCTCTCTGTTTTTCTAATTCTAGGGGTCACCATTTCCTCCCCTCATGTAATGTTCAGAAATGTGGCCATTTAGGCAGGGATATGTTTTTCTTCTCTCTACATCATTTAGTCATTTGAGCTTATTTTTCTGATTTGGCAACTTATTATTGTTGACACCATGCCAGCAACTTGCCAGGTGCTGTGTACCAGCTGCCACCTGAGCACATAGTTCTCACATCTCCCCAGTGTTAAAGGAAGTAGGAAAGCATCTACTGGGGCGAGTTCACTCAGAATTTGTAATTCTGGAGGTTAACACATTACATCAGATTAAAAATGAGGGAATTTTGCACACAGTCCACAGCATAAATTACATTTCTGGAAAATTTGCTGGGATAACTCTCATTACCAGTGCTACATTTGCACGTAGAGAGGCAAGTAATTAAAATAATCAAGGTCCTGCCATGTTATTTATTGAAAGTCAGTTCTAGCCAAGTCTTGTAGTGGTTTATGTCCGGCTGTAGAATAAGCTGCAGAGGAAACACACTGCCAGTTACCTCTGTGAGCTGCAGGTGTGAGGGAGCCTGCAGAGAGCTTCAAAAGAGGAAACAAGCCTGGAAGTGGAAACTCGGTCCGTGACACATTAAGGCCTGAGTCCTACAATTACAAAAGTTTGCCTCTGCAGATGGTACATTCTTTCATACACAGTAGAAAGCACTGGAGACCGTTCAGGGTGTCTGCTGTGGTTTGAATGTGCTTCCCCAGTGTCACGCTGGAAACCTGATCTCCAGATGTTATGTTAACGGCATCTGGAGGTGGGGCTTTTGGGAGGTGCTTGGGTCACGAGGACAGCTGCTTAAATATAATGAAAGATCTAATAAAAATCATGTACCATGCTATATAATATATATGATAATATGATATACATAATGTAATGGATATGTAAGTAAAAGATTTTATAATAGATAAAATGAAATGTGAAATAATAACAAGTTAGTTCTTCGCTAGTCACTTGGGTTTGAGGCAGACTTTCCGTGGATTCCTGTGCCCTCTCCAAGCTCCTGACGTGCTGATGTGCCGTTTGTCCGGGAGAGAGACCACCTCATGGAAGAAATAGTCAGACACGCCTTTGAGCCCATGTTTCCTGCTCCTTGTACCCAGGCTTTGTAGAAGTGGGGTTGGGGGAGCAGAGATAGTAATTGCCAGCCAATTCATTTTGTTTGTTTTTTTGCAGTGCTGGGGATTGAACCTAGGGCACTGAGCTACATCCCCAGTCCTTTTTTAGTTTTTCATGTTGACAAAAGGCCTTCGTAAGTCACTGAATTGCCCAGGCTGGGCTCTAACATTCCATCCTCCTGCCGCAGCCTCCCAGACTGCTGTGATTACAGCATGCACGTACCACCATGCCCAGATTCCAGCCTTATATTTCAGCAGGAATTTCCTCCCTCTCTGTCACCACTTTTAAAAAGATGCGCAAAGTGCTTTCCTTGAAATGTGAGGGGAGGACAGTCACCAAACAGGATTTTGGGTGATTCATCTTTGACAGAGGAATATATATGTTTCCTATTTTCATCAGTCTTTGAAGTTTCAAGCCCCTGGTTGCATCAGGACGACATACATTATTTTCCACGTTCAGTAAGAAGTTCTTTCAAGTCCCGACAACACCTACCATCTGCTAATGCACACGTTTTCCCTGTGGTAATCAATCAAGAGTTGGAATCAACAGTTGTTTCCTTTGTTTAGTGTTTAAGGAAAACCTCATAATGCCCAAGTTTCCTCCAGTGCCACTCAATCGTAGTAGGCATCTGTTCTAAGGGACCGGAAATCCCGGAGCTGGAACGAGATGTATTTATGCAGGCTCTTCAGCGTAGACTTTCAGAAACCTGTGAACGATCACCAGGAAACCAAGTTAAAACTATGGCGCTATCCTGTTTGGGAGAGGATGGGCTTCACAGGTTTCCCGCAGGGCAGGGGTAGGAGAGGGAGCAGCCCTCACTGCAGGATGCCTGAACCCCACACCACTCCAAGCAGCATGAAGTCCCCCACCCCACCCCGAGTTAGGCTTCCCACTCTTCGTTTGTGTAACGAGGCTTACAAGCATTTAACTTCATTTCGGTCTTCCCACATTCTCAGGACGCCAGGTCTGCCTGCCTTGGTCCACTGGCTAACAGTTCTGAATCAGTAGTAGCCAGGGTAGGCTTGGCCTCCTGTGTTACCTTTCATTGGTAGGACGAAGTACCTGACATAAACAAGGAGTCTCAGGAGAGTTTCTTGAGGCCGTGGATTCCGAGGTTTCAGTCCATGGCTGGCTAGCTCTTTTGCTTTAGGACTTTAGTGAGGCAGAAATGCCATGGCAGACGGGGCGGCTGGGGAAAGCTGCTCACCTCAGGGCAGCCAGGAAGCAGAGGGAAAGAGTCAGACAGAAGGGGCCAGGCACAGGCAAGGGCCTTGCCTTCTGTTAGCGCATTCAGCAGTGAACTCGACGTCAGTGCCCCGTGATCCGACCGCCTCTGAACACTGAGCCTTTTGGGGGCGTTTCTGATCCAGACCATAGCACCTCCATCTTCCTTTGGGCGCAGCACACTTTATTCTCTGGTTCCTCAGGTTTGACACTTGGTGCGTGACATTCAACCTCGAAATCTCAGTGCTCTAGCAGCACCGAGGCCCCTTTCTTGTCCTGTGGAGCTGAGTGATGTCGGAGAGCCCTCTGTGTTGCCTCCATCCTGAAGCTCTGCTGCCAGCCCACGTGGCCTCCCCTCCTGCTACCCTGACTTCTACCAGAAGCAAAATTTCTCAGCTAGCCCCTTGACCAGGTGGAGACCTCTGTGGTCTGGGAAATGGGAGCAGCTGCACAAACTTCTGGTGGGCCATGACAGTGTCTGCTAGAGGCCCCACTCATATTTTGTTGGGATCCAAGTTAGCCATACTTTTATAGCGCAAAGAAATCATAGAATAGATCTGTTTCAGTTTCCCCCAGCAGTTTAAACCTTCCTTCATCCTCTCCTCTCACTTTCCTCTTTCTTCCATCCTTTCACCTCCTCTTCCAGGCTCTGCTGGGTGCAGTTATTGCTTCCCACCCCTGAGAGTCCCATAGTGCATTTCCTGGGTCTGCACTGTTTACCTAATCTCAATGGCTGAGTCCACCCTTGAAAAACCTGTCTCTTAATCCAGTGGTACTCACATCTGATTGTGTAGCAGCATCCCTGGGAGGGATTCTTAACACACAGAGTCTCGACTCAGTTTGAATACAGAACATTTATTTTTTAAAACAGCTTCCTAGGTAAGGTCAACGCTACTCGTTTGAAGAATCAGGGACTTGAAATTGAGCCTGCATTTGGGACCATGCCTCCTGTGTTTTCTTGGACTTCTTATTGTCTAGGAACTGACAGTTTCTCCTGTGGACACAGCTGGGACACTGTGCTGAGGAGAGGAAACGAAGCTATATTTTGGCAGGAAATGTGGGAGCAGAGCTGCTTGCTGTTTTCAGGGCTGAGGGGTAAACACCTGTAATAAGTTCTAAGAGATGCCTGAGGTTGCTGGAAGCAGCTTCTCTCTCTTCTTCTCGGACTGCCAACGACAGCAGCCCTTTGCCTACCCTGGCTTCCTTGGTCACTGGGAACTTCCCTGGTGCAGGGGGCACTTAACGGTGCCCCTGGGTAATATGAAGATGCAGGTTTGGGAATTTGGTCTGAGGGCAGGGTTTGCTAGCAACATCTTGCCCAAGTCTAATTGAATGAAAACAAGGTGGGAGAATGGAAGCAAAGCGACCAATATCTTTTTTCACTAACGCCTCATGCAAGGTAGCTCAGGATCACTTTCTTTTTACTTCAGGGGACTATTTAGGGAGACGTGACATTAAAGATGGCTCTAAAGAGCTAAGGTGGCCCAGTGACTGTGTCACAGTCTCCTGTCACCCATCCTTCTTCCAGCTGTGCCTGACATCTGTCCAGGCAACCAGAACTTCTCATAATGCTTTTCTCTTTCAGGCAACCTTTGAAGATTACCGAGGTCTCCAGTCTCTCTAAGACTGGTTTTGGATTCAAAAGGTAACAGAGTTGTTCTATTCTAGAATAATTTTTTTGAGAGGTACGTGTTGTTGGATTTAAAAATTATCCTTGCTGCAGATCTCCTTTAGACTGGTGGGTTTATTGGTTTTTGGGGAAATCGAGGCAAATCCATGCTTCCGCCTTCCAGGGCTTCCTCTGGAAACACATTGCTGGTGTACAGAGGAGCATCCTGCTCGTATCCTCTGCGCCCCTGTGCTGAGCGTCCCCCAGGCTGGGTCTGGGTCTCTTTTGAGTATGGTCAAATACTTTGTTATTTTTAGTTCAAAGGCTGATGAAGTAACTTTTCTTTTTTGGTAGTGGGGATCGAACTTGGGCCCTTGTGCTTTCAAGGCAGGCACCAGACCAATGAGCTAAATCCCCGGCCCTGAAGTAACTGTGAAGTTAATGTAAAAAGAAATTCCTAAACTGGTAGTTTTTTTGTGTGGTGACTACTCAAAATATTCTGAAAGGACTTTCAGTGCTTTGCCAAACAGCTATTTGTTTTTAAAACCACTGTAACCCACAACTGTAATCTGTTGTTCATTTTCTGTATTTCAAGATGGCAATTTTTAATTCAGGGAAAAATATAGCACAGCATATGTAACACTCACTTATGAAACCGAGCAGTTCCTTTCTGCCTTCCAGCGCAATCCATCTCTATTTTTTTCTGGTATTGATAACTCTTCACTCTATAATGTTATGTGTGTATGATCTCCTCATGTTGAAATGTCTTGGACTACGTTTTCTAGAGTGACACGAGGTGTGTGAGCTCTCTCGGTCCTGTTTCCACTTGCTGTCACCACACTTTACAACATACAGTGCCAATTTCTGAGCCATCGTGGTGAGCCAAAGTGGTGCCTTTCTGTTGCATAATAGCTGTATGATGAGATGGGTCTTACTGTTCCTCTCTTATCTCCGTGTATCTTTTCCTCTGTCCCGAATGTGGAAGAGCACTCCCTTTGATAGGTGCCTCCGATCTCTCTGATGACAGTGCTGAGTCATTCCGATGGGCACCATGGGGCAGAGGCTCCCATCTGGTGTGGTCGAGGGAGAAGAGCTCTCTCACATTCTCAGGCTCTCCCATCAGAGAGATCCAATCGTGCACCAACACCTTGCGTAGTCCGTTTTCACTGTGGCAGATTGTGAGTATTGGACACAACTCGAAATTGGCGCCAGATGACCGATCCCAGGGGATGGCAGCCACATCTGTCTCACGAGCGTGCACCCAGTCTCAGGAGTCCACTTTGGGCCATTCTAGTACTGTGGGGCTGGAACTGCAGGCCCAGGAGAGAACTGTGTATTTCGGATTCATTATCACTCTCATGACATATGTCTTTTTGTGTCTTTCCTGTTTGCCCACATTAAGTTCATTCAACCTTTTCTGAATCTTTGCTGTGCGGTAGATATAGAAGGGATGCAAAAGATGAAAATAGCAAATGTTTTGTGTTCTTCCTACAAGATGAAAAATGCTATCACATGCACTCACCAGTTGCTTGGATATGATGTGGGCCCTGCTCTTAAATAAATTATGGTGACATTAAAAAATGCCTTGTTTCATTGAATTCTGGAGTTTGGGCAAGAGGGAGAAGTGTGAATGCTACGAGGAAAGCAGGATTATAAATGATGACAGTTCTTCAAAATGGCAAAACGGATGAGATTTCACGCCTCACATTAATGGACAGTTTCAAATGAGTGGCTGTGTGTTTCCTAGTTAACCGAAAGAAAATATTCCATTCAGGAAAATGAAGAATTGAGATGACTGGCAGCTTCTCTTGCCTGTTTGCATTTTTCCTAATTTACCTCTTCTCTGAGAGAAGAGCAGGGATGATAATCCACAAAAGGAATGGGGTGCCTGGGGTCACACGGGTTTGCTTTGGGGCTGTTGGGATTCGCTGCTGTGTCATTTTAGCTCTAGAAATTGGGTTTAATTGAAGGTGAACAAAAAACAAAAAAAATTAAACATCTGTCTTTTCTGAATACATGTTGTTTTTGGCAAACTCTTCCTCTTGATTCTGTTGTTCAGATGTGCTTAGGTTGCCTGGAGCTACACGAGGTGCCTTGATGATAAGTCTCAAATTGAACTTCTCAGGAGAAATAATGAGGGCGGGATTGTAAGGACATTTGCCTTGTGGTGCTTAGGAAAGAAAAATGTATTTTGTTAATATGGATAAGATAGGACGTGCACGACGATGTATGGTAGCGAGGTTCCCCTGTCATTGTGATGGTGCCACGTGGCAGTTTTCAAATGTGCACAAGATTCTGGTTGCTGGGCCCTGGACAGAGCCCCTTCGAAGGAAGGGGGTGGGATTGCTTGGCTGCTGGGCAGTCAGAGAGAGGTCCGCATGGCAGTCACCTCCGGCAGTTTGCAGAAGTCTCCTCAGATTGGGAGGACTTTAGTGTGTGGAAGTAAAAAAAAAAAGGAGGAAGAAGATCAGTTTCTCCATGGAGGGGATAACGCTCATTTTTATAATACAAAGGAAATACCATTTTGAATATCATATTTCCTTTAGAATTCTTCCAGGTCCACTGTACCAGCAAGGACAGTCATTGGTTTGCAGCCGGAAATCGGGCAGCCTGCTGTAAAGGCGGCTTTGCTAAGTCATCACACATATGTGCATTTACACCTCGGGAGGGGATGGTGCCGGGCTCCTCGTTGCGCCGGCAGAGCAGTCCACAGGAACCTACTGAGAGCCAACCGCAGGTGCAGGCATAACCATGGTGCCCGCGAAGGCTGCCTTCACCAAACCCATACGAGGACCCCTGTCGCACCTGTAGTAGAGACAGGTGGTAACGTGTGTGGGTCTGCTTCTCTCTGGCCAGAGAAGCCTCAGGTGGTCTCTTGGTTCATCGCAGTCCTTTCGTTACTCATTGTTATTATTTCTTTGGGTACCATCACTTGAACATCATCGGGAAGCACAGTGGTGGAGGACAGATCCTTGGAGGAGAAGATGGCTAATCTGAAGCTTCACGTTCAAGAAAGAGAGTTCCGGGCAGAGGCTGCAGCCCACAAAAAGGGTCAGGGCAAGTGGCGCCTGACACCTCAAGGTGATGTCGACCTAGGTGGAGAGGTGGGGGACAGAGGAGAGGAGCGTGGGAGGAGGGAGGCGTGGAGGGTGGAGAGCTGTGTGAAGCACATCCGTCATATCCCGCACTGCGGGTAGAGCCGTTGAGCGATGTAAACAGCTGGCTGTTCTAATGGGTCTGGTAATGTGAAGCATAGAGGGCAGGAGCCTATTAGCTAGAAACTGAACGAGCATCTGGGATGGTTTTACGGGGGTCCAGGGGGGACCTGCTAGAGGTTTTGCCCAAGACAATAATAACCTTTCATCAACCACAGTCTCTTGTAAGTTGCAGTGCACTGCAAATGCCAATTTAAAAATGTACCTGTGCAGATTACCTGTACAAACTGAAATCAGACCTGTAACACTGCCAGAGCAATTGAACAAAATTACTAATTCTTTAATTTTAGGCCCTAAAGAAATCATTGTGTGAGGGCTTAGGTGAAATTTAAAGAATGTTTTAGTACAGTTTTTAAGAGTAGATTTTGCTAGTCGAAGGAGAGTGCTGTTGACACCATCAGAAGTTGTTGGAACAGACAAACAACAAGGTCCGAGGGAGGAAGAAGCAGTCTCCTCCTTGTTCCTGGTCATCGGGAGTCTTCAACAACAGCATGCAGTCAATTCCTGAGCTCAGAGAGGTTAAGAGGGTTTCACTTGAAGAAAGGGAGGTGAAATGTGTGGACTTCATGCGCTTTTTCCAACCCTGTTATTCCATTTTTATGCACTTTTTAGTCAGCCCCGTACAGCATTTGTCTTAGTCTTTTTTGGTTACTATAATGAAATGAAGTTCACTTAGCTCGTGGTTCTAGAGGCTCAAGAGCATGTGCATGGTGTTGGCTTCTTTTGCTCGGGGAGGGTCTTGCTGCAGATGCTAAAACAATGGCATAAGATGAGCTGGTGGTGCCTATGGAAGACAGACTCAGCAGAGGTTCTGGGTTCTGGTATAACAGTCCATTCTTGCAGGAACTCACCCAGTCCCAGGGGCCCTGCATTAATCCCTTGGAGAGCTGGTGTCCCATGACCTAAGTGCCGTGCCCTAGGCTCCAGCTCTAAAATGCTCTCCCACCTCCCAACATTGGGAGCCACTTTGGGGACCACGCTTCCAGTACACGAATCTTTGGGGGCACATTCAGACCAGACCCAAAGCATGACTAAGTCCAAAAGAATGAAGTGTTTGAGAATGAGCTTTTGAAATTATAATGAGCTAGAAGCTCTCTGAGTGGTAAAATTTTAATTAGGAGGGCCAGGAGTAAAACATCCACTGACACTCCACTTTCAGGTGAAGTCTCGGTGCGACCACAGTTGTTACTCTTTCTGTGGCTTGAAGACAGTTTTAATTATTAACTAATTAGGGGGTGGAAATGGAGACTTGTCGTTTTCGTTATTCTCTTGGCACACATTGTTCATAATTCTTGGCTTTTTGCATAACAATAAAGGGCACTTCAAGGATTTAAAAAGAGGGCACATTCTGGAGATAGATTAAGTCAACATTTTATTTCTTGTCTCAGCATAGATATGTGTCATCTTTGAGTGAGGATCATGACCACAGGTAGGCTTTGTAATCATCTCTGCATCAATAGGTAAGAGCTAAGCATGGAAATAAACCAGCACTGAAACCTCTTGGGAGAGATGATTATTAGTTTTTCCCTAGAGATAAAGGTTTGATAAGGCAGCCACTCTTGCTGGTGGGCTTTAGAGAGAGTAGAATGGGGTAAGAGATGGGGTCTGGTTAAGAGCATGTGCGATTGAGGGAGTCACAGGGAAAAGCCCATGGCACGTGAGGTTGTTCAGTATTTATTCCTTCTACCAATTTCTGTGGAGGTCTGTTGGATGCCAGGCATCATTCCAAGGTGTTGTAGAAGCTAATTAGATGGTCAGGTGCCTGCTTTCCTGGGGGCCTTATTCTGAGAATGTTAAGAAACATGAAGAAGTTGACACTCGACCTGTGCATTGTGTCATGCTTTGGCCTCTGGCCTGCTGGCAGCAAGGACACACAGGACCTTTGCCAACTGGCTCTATGGCTCTAGCTTTTGGCTTCCTTCCAATTTATAGGACCTGAGCCCTGAGTGTAACTGGGTGTCTGTCTGTCTGTTTTGTATACCAAACACCTTATTTCCTAAGGGTCACATGTACATGGGATCTTTTGTACAGGTCTGGAACTCATCCGCAGAGGGCTACCAGGAAGATAAACTGTATGCAAGAAGTATCTTATGAAGAATAACTAAAGAATGGCTAGCTAAGAAAAAAAATAGTATTTCAGGATAGTTTTTAAAATTCAGGGTAGGACTAGCTGCTGTCCATGCATTTTTTTCCATTAAGTTTATTGGTACATTTTAGGTACATGTTATGATCACATTCGTCATTGGGATCTTGTACCTTTGCATGACAGATCTTGATTCTTATTTTTTCTCATTCCCTGCCCTCCCTTCAACTCCTCCACCCCTTCTTATTTACAAAGACTTTGTTTCCATGTTTCCCTTTCCCTTCCTTCCTTTCCCTCAGCCCTCCGACTTCCTTTTCCTCTTTAGACCTTTTCTTCCTGTTTCACATTATCTGTCATACATTTTGATTCTTATTTATACTTTCAGATTCTCACACCAGAGAAACTGTTTGGTATTTACACGTGTGGCCTATTCATTTCACTCAGTGTGAAATGTGTGCATCCATTTAGCTGCGAATGTTTCTAGTTTGTCATTCTTTATGGCTGAGTAGTACTCCATTTCATAAAAATACCACATCTTTATCCAGTCTCCAGATGATGGGCATTCAGGCTGTTTCCAAGATTGAGCTTGGGGGGTCATTTTTGAGAGCGAGCCCCTTAAAGTGCCTCTCTCGTGTCTGCATAGGTTTGCGACACTGATGTTCTGTAGCTTAAAGCTTGGAACTGATCCCCTACCACTCACTCCGCCTCCACGAGAAACCAAAGTACTCTTTGAATGCAAACTAGGGAGGATGTGGAAGCCAGTTACAGTTCTTTGACATGGGAGCTCATGAACTGAGGTCATCAATCTCAGTGACTGAGTTGGTGTGATTGATCTCGGAGTGGACCATGGAGAGAACTTCACAGTGGTGTCTGGAAGAAAAGACGGGAGGTTGGTCCCTTGGGCAGACTCTGGCACAGATGCATAATCACTAGGACCTGCTCGAGGAGGTGGGAGCGCTCTAGAGGGAAAGGTGAGTCACAGGAGCTCCCACTACTCATTTCAAGGCCGCAGTTCATGACCCCCCAGGCCCGCTCTGTTTGCCTTTCCAGTCTCATTCACAAACGGGGAGGAAAGAAGGAAGATAACGAGGGATCAACCAAGGTTAGAAGGGAACAAAAGTGAAGACTGGAAAAATGGAAGGAAACAGAAGATCTTTCTGGGATTGAGGGTCCCCAGTGAAGGGGAGCTGCTGGTTTAAGAGGAACTAAGCCATCTTAAAAGGTGTCAAACATTTCCTTCATGGGTTCTTTTCCTGCTGTCCTTTCTGTGTAAAATTCAATTTCATGCGGCCTGCTCGGTTACTTTCCTTTCGTTTTCTTCTTCCTCTTTTCTCTCCACATTCCTTTCCTTCCCCGTTCTCCCTCTCCCCTTCTCCTTTTTCCTCCTCCACTTCCCCTTCCTCTCCTCCTCCTCCTCCTCCTCTTTTTTCCCCTCCCTCTCCCCATGTCTCCACTCTAGGAAGAAGGCAGGATCGCTAAGGAGTTAAAGAGTTTTGGTTGTTCAGTTATCAGGCTAATTCAGCTATCTCTATATTTCAAGAAAAGAAGCTTTGCTTTTCTCACCAAAGCTATATTTTTTTAATCAAGTTGCAGTTAGTTGTCTACTTTCTCACTGTAGATTTTCATTTTGTTAATCAATGTGTGAGACCCTCCTGTAAGTAGCTTCAGGATATGCCCTTTCTCACACTTAAGGCAGCAGTAATTAGACTCAGATTTGCTGAGCCTGTGAGAACCCCATAACCAGTGAACTAATGGGGTCTTAATGTCCGAACTCTCCTGTTCTTACGTGTGAGGTCGCCAATTGCGTAAGGGAAGCAGCTTTGAGATCCTAGTGTTCATTGAAGTTTGGAAAATGCCCCCTAATTGTGGAAGGGTTGTGATTTTTTAAAAAATCTAAATGAGAAACAGTTAAACATTTGAACCTGTGGCACTGCCCCAGTGCATTTGAGTACTTTTTGGTATCTTCCTGCATCAGGTACCTTGAAATATTCCCAGGTAGATGCTTATGTAAAAGGAAGTAAGGATTCGACGGATGGTAAAACCTGGTAAATCTTAAAACAGCAAATAGAAATGGTCCATCGCCTATAGTCAGGCATTTTGTGTTTGGAGAAATTTGCATCCTCTGAATAGAGACATAGTAGTATTTTGGGTTTATTTCAGAAGACTTCATATTCAATTTATTTACTGTTTTGTAGAGTCTTATAAAACACCCATTTCCTGGAATGGAGGTTGATTTTATTGGTGTTACCTCTACATATAATTTCTGATAGATGGTCTGAATAAAATGGAGAAAGAGCCAGATAAATTAACCAAAGCATGAAATTACCAGGGTCTCACACAGCTACCTTACTTAAATTTTCTCCCGCTTCAGGGACCCAAGAACCACATCCTGGCCTTTCCCTGGAAGTCTTTACCAGACACTGCTTGTAGTCTCCAAATCCTGAGCTTTACTTCCAAGACAGTTAATAGTAAAACTGTCGGTTGGTTCTTCTTGTGTGTGTGTGCAGCCTTTTCTACCTGTGAGACAGTTTCTGACCGGAGACTCACCTCATTATCGTGCGAATGGTTTATTATCTCACTTAACTCTCCTCCCTGATAATAATCACGCTGTACATCTTTCCACCACCACACTTACTGCTCACTCATTTGTGCCAGGGCTTCAAGACCTCCAGATGCCCAGGGTCACCCGCAAGTTGCTGTTTTCTGCTAGGACATCTGCAAAGCAAAACAAAAAAGGGACGACGACACGTGTG